GACTTGCCTGCCTTTGAAACCATCCGGACAGTGGCTTTGAATATTGTGTATGACAATGTTCGGGCAGAGGTGCGGCCGCTTATGGACAAGTGGGACATCAGCGGTTGCACTCTCATCACCGATGAGACCCAAGACAGGAAGTCGAGGGCTGTGTTGAACTTTGTAGCGGCTGGAGAGAGCGGGGCTGTGCTCATCAAGGTTGTGGATGTCTCTGATGGGAAGAAAAACACGAGAGCATTGGCAAAGTTATGGGAAGAGGTGATAAGGGAGATCGGTGTTTACAAGGTCAATGCAATCTGCACTGACAATGCATCAGCGAACAAGCGAGCGGCGAAACTCCTGTCAATGAGGACTGACAAAGCCATTGCGAAGATTCCTTGGATCCCTTGTGCTGCCCACGCCCTGAGCTTGCTACTGAAAGACATATCCAACATCGCATGGATCAAGACGGTGTGGAAGAAGGGAAGGAATTTGATGAAGTTCATCAAGAATCACCAAAGCACGATAGGGTTGCTGAGTCGGTGTTCCATGGGAGACAGGAAGGTGCTTGTCATGCCAACGGAGGTCAGATTCGCGTCTGTTTACCATTTGTTGATCCGTATATGGGACAGGAGACATGTGCTGAAGCACATGATGGACAACGGCTAATTTGACATCTATTGGAGCAGTCGGAAAGACAGGGAGGATGCAGAGGATATCTTCGCTCATGTGAGATGTGACATCTGGTGGCAGAAGGTGGACACTATTCTCTCCATCATGAAGCCCATATACGACCTGCTGCGAATGATGGACAGTGATAAGGTGGCGCCTTCACGGTTGTGGGGCTTCGACGACCTCCTCAGCAAACGGATGCGGACCATGTCAAGTGTGACCAGCGAGCAGCACCACGAGATAATGAAGTTGGTCGTCAATCATTGCAAGATGATGCGTCAGCCAGCCCATGCAGCAAACTTCTTGTTGTCACCTGCGCGAAGGGACCCCAGATGGTTGCTGAACAAGGACTCCCCACTCATGCACAACGCATTGAAGTTCTTCTTGACACAGTTGGGCAGGAACTCTTGGGGCGATTTGGACTCTCACGAGGAAGTGTGGAACAGCCTGTGGACATTTCATTGCCAACCACCGAAGGAGAAGATGAAGGATGAGGATTTGTGGAATCGGTTCGTTGTTGCCGACGCAGATTTGGAGAGGAAGACATCATCTCAATGGTGGGGCTTGTACGGGTGAAAGCACATCGAATTGCAGAAAATCGCAATGCAGGTGATGGCAATATGGAGCACGGCAACATTATGCGAAAGGAATTGGTCGTCCTTGGACTTGGTCCACTCCAAATGGCGGAACAACTTGTCCAGCGAAAGTTTAGTTAAGTTGGTTTACTACATTCACTAGAACATGCAGTTGTTGCGGGTTCCCAGGAGCACGACTGATGGGTTCATTGACCTGTGGGCAACCTTCTTCAACGAGCTTGAGGCACCTCCGGTGACGAACGATGCAGCCAAGGATCGCCGTGAAGTGGACAAGGAGGAGGAGGCGGCGAGGGTTGCACGCCTGAAGAAAATTCCGAAAGGGAGGCTTCCCGCTGGCTTGTTCAGCGATGATTCTGGGAGCAGTGACAACGAGGACTTGGTGTGGTGTGACAAGGTGGAAAACAGGGTACATCCAGCACGAGGTGGGAAGGGGAAAGGGAAGGCCGATGTTGTTAAAGACGAGGAGGACGAGTGGGATGATGATGATGATGATGATGACAACGACTCGGATTTTAAAATTCGTCCACGCACGGGCTGCATGGACTCAGACACGAACGGAGGACGGGCCGACTTGTGGGACGTGCCTGAAGCAACGTGTCACTTGGACAGTGGTGATGACCTCATCGTGGAGGACAGTGAGGCACGTGATCGCAGGGTCAGAGCGGAAGCACAATCTCTGGCGGACAGGGATCGTGTAATGGTGCAACAACATATGGCAGAGGAAAACTCACGTCGACTAGCAGTCCCCGCACACCTGAGAACCGTGGAGGGGCATGTGCAGCAGCAGGCCGAGCAACGACCACAGGAGCTGGTGCAACAGCTGGTGGAGCAGAATCCGCAGCGGGTGGTGCGGCAGCAGCAGGAGCGGCGCCCTCAGCAGAAGTAGCATGAGGTAGAGCCAGGGCAGCAGCAAGTGGAGAAGCAGTTGAAGCAGGACATGGAGCAGAAGCAGCAGAATATGAAGCAACAACAACAACAACACAAGGAAGAGTAGCAACAACTGCAAAACCCCCCCCGACGGTCTCCAGACCCTACAAGGGCGGTACCTCCCCCCGAACACCCCCCACCTATGGCCCCCAGACCCTACCGGCCCGGTACCGCCCGCAGAACGAACACGTTCGCAGGCCGAAGAAACCTGTTCGTGCGAACGTGTTCGGTTCCTGTTCGGGCGAACGCCCGAACGTGTTCGGACGTTCCCCCCGACGGTCTCCACACCCTACAAGGGAGGTACCTCCCCCCGAACACCCCCCACCTATGGCCCCCAGTCCCTACCGGCCCGGTACCGCCCGCAGAACGAACACGTTCGCAGGCCGAAGAAACCCGTTCGTGCGAACGTGTTCGGTTCCCGTTCGGGCGAACGCCCGAACGTGTTCGGACGTTCGGGAAACCTCTGAATACATTAGCAGTGCTACGCAGCTTCGTACTTGCCGGACACTAGGGAACTTTTGAAATTAACAGTGACGTTCAAGAATATGAGAGTTTATACACGAGCCTGGGGATTGATGTACGGGTGTTCTACGTGGCGCACGTCTGCTGTTCGCCGCACGTTCTTAGATGGCGTCCGGACTTACGAACACAAGAACAAGGGTTCCTCCACACACGCGACGACTACAGGGAAATTGTTTGCTATGCTGCAGAATTATTTCCGCTTAACACGGAAAGCATGTCGAACAACGATGAATTTCATCTCTCAAACATTTTGTTAGGCAAGGACGTTTACGACTTCTTCTTAAGAGAATACAATTCCTAATTTTTTTCTTCAAAGATTCTTTTTGTTAAACATTTCATGAAGATTTGGAGGGAATAGTGCCCGAAAGTTGTGATTCCCTCGTTGAAGAGATTTTCAGTGTGCGCTCAATGCCTGTCGTTCAACGCAGGCCGTGCGAATGCAGACAACCGCATCGAGAGAGGTAAGGCACTACAAATCTGGTACAAGCTGGTACGAGAGTGGTGTGTATAGTACTATAAACCTGTTACTAGACGAAAATCTTCTTTGTCTGTGTTATTCCAAGCTTCTCTGCAACCGTTGTGTTGTTATTCTAAAGTGGCTTCTGTTCACCTGTTTACAAAGTCGGTGCGTCGTCCTGACAATTGGTCATTGCTGGAGTTGAAAAACAACCCAAACGGYTAAGTTAGACTTCTTTTTGTAATTTTATAAATCGTCCGAGTTGAAACTAGTTCTCAAGTTCTACAAATTCGTTTCTTGGATTGGAATTGAGTCGTTGCAACAGGCTAAAGTAAAAGGAAAAAACATMTGGACGGCTGAGTCGGAATATCTTTATAKTTCTATAAATTCGTTTTAYGKAGTTTGAAGTYGTTTTAGACTTCAACAAATTCGTTTATCTAAAACGTTGCAATAGGCTAAAGTAAAAGGAAAAAACATCTGGACGACTGAGTCGGAATACTTTTGTAGTTCTATAAATTCGTTTATCTGAATTAGAGAGGTTCAGAATCTAGAAATTCRTTTTCTTGGGTTTGAATTTATTKGTTAGTTCTACAAATTTGTTTTTCGTCAATTACCACAGAGATGGCGGTGTGTTGGACTTGAGTTGTTGCAAYACGCTTGAGTTAAAAAATRTTTTGTTTGAGGCTCTACATTATTTATAATCCTATAATTTCCTTCCCAACCGACACATGCTTTATTTTTGACTGGAAGCATTAATTCAGGTCTCCGTGACTCTTTCACGTGTTTGCTGACCTTGTTCTTTCCGCTACTTATGAACAGAGACATACGAGAGAGCATTGCTGAAGCACCGGATAATGCAGAAAGAGGAAAGGTCAAAGCTCTATAAACATCGTCACAAGGCTTCTAACAAACCCGGACAGTACGTGTGTTTAATTATTAACGGAATGGACCAGAGCAAGACCCTCTTACCGCACTTCCTAAGATGCCCGAAGGATTCTAAGGTCGAAGAATTAAATTTTGTCAAGGTGCACGTCGTCGATGCAAAGGTGTTGGGCCTTGCAACACAAGCATCTGCGACACTCTTTTTCGACAACTTCAAGGCAGATTCCAACTGCATGCTGATTGTGCTTCAGCGAAGAATTTGCGAACTTTTCGATACCTTTCTCACGAGTTCTCTATCTCAATCTTTACGAAAGAAAACAAGGACAAATACATACTTTCGTATTTGTTCTACCTTGTTAAAATGAACATTTTCATAAGGGTGAAGCTGAGCTTTCTTCTCGTAGGTCATACACACGAGGATATAGATAAGATGTTTAGTTTTTTCTCTCTTGTCGGCTTAATTCCCAGAGCGCTTTTGATCTTCCCGAACTTGAACACGTGATTCGTGAGTCGTACAGAGATGAAGTCGGAAAGGCGGTAGTTCTTGAACGGATGACCGATACATATGACTGGAAGGAGTTTGTAGAACCACATTTGTTGAAGGTGAACGACATCAGTTCCAACCAACATTTCAAGATAGCAGCCGAA